GATCAGCGCTTTCTGGAAAACAGTCCAATCGCTCTTTTTCTTCCTCTGTAGCTTTCGGCGTCGCACTGTAAAACGATATTGAATTACTTATGACAGTTCCTTCGACATAAATTGCCTTGGCTGATTTTACTGTGAAAGTCAATAGACCAGAAAATACTTAAACCGGAAAATGTCAATGCACATGAGTGCTTCTGATTTTTAAAATAAAGTTCAGCACTTGTATTCAATATTTTGAAAATGATTTCGAAAGATAATATTTAGAGAATCAATGTAAGATTATAGCGTTACAACAGTGAATGTAATGCATTACCTCCATTCTACGATAAATGATTCATTCATTTTTAGGTAAGGAGCGAGTCCATCTATTTTGAGGACCTGTTGAAAAATAATACAAACATTCATACGTAAAACGAAAACTGCATTCGAATGGATAAACTAATTGCCATTTGGCACTTTTGGAAACAAACACACGGAAAAGTCTGGCCTCTGGTTCATGGCACTGTGTCAGAATATATACTTCCAAATTAATTTGTGATAAAAGAAAAATTAAAATAAAGGTTAGTCTGCAGTCCACGTAATTATATTTCCCAATCTCAGTCTCAATGTACATGTTCTGCTCACCCTATTCTCGCTATCGTAATCCAAGAAGTGTAGTTTTCCATTGACGTAAGCGGCCAGCGGTCTCTCCCTGACCCCCAGTACAGTAATACTGCCCATAATAAGGTTGGACATCATGTCGTTGTTGTGTTGAATTTCCATCTCCACTTGCACCTACATACAAATCAAAATAGGTTACTGTTTTTTATTTATTCATTTTTTCTTTGTGAGAAAATTGGACTTTTATCAGAATTAACCCTGGGAAATTTGTTGATACGATATTCACAAGGGTTAGACTTAGGTCGTTACTGAAACAATTAATTCTTCTGATTTTTGCTATATCCAATGACAAATATATTTTTTAGAAATTTTAGAATTTGTTTAATCGTCAAGAACTGACCTGGTTCGCCTTGAACTTGGCAAAATAGTAACTTCCATTTTCATAGGTATCTAAAATAAAACACAGAGGCGACGCATATGTTATATATAATTGTGAATATAAAGAGGAGTTGGGTAGTAGACCCTCATTGCCCGGAGTCTGAAGGGTTAGAATGAAATATTGTGTTAATGAACAACATTTAAATATTTCTAAAAGAAAGAAATGGCACGAATTCACCATTCACGTGACCATGGTCCATAGATTGAGGACCCAAATGTCGTGTTGGACTGATGCTATTTTAAAGAACAATTCTATTTTATCATCCTTTATTTATTTCATTCTGGAGACCATGACAAAACTCTTTCACAGAGTTGCAGAGAACATTGCAGGTGTCTGAATACCGACCAACAGAGTCGCCGTCGTCCCAGAAGAGCTCCCCCTTGGCCTTGTCTTGGTCATCTAGGGCCACCAGCAGCGAGAACGGCCTCTGGCGGCTGTAAGAAAAGTGCGGCGTGTACAGGAAAGGGAATAATTTTTATGCTATCTCGTAGCATTGTGTAATTTTGCTATCAGAGATGAGAGTGTTAGAGAAGATGATACTTTTTAGTATTATAAACTAATATTAAAATACTTAACTGGTATTAAAATACTTAAAGGATAGGGATTTATTTTATTCTCCCAACAATTAAAACGTTTTTCTGTCATTTTTCGGCATCTGGTGTTACAATAATGTTTTTCCAATGTTAGGCGTCTTTGCATTAAAAATATCATAAATATAGAATATTTGTAAAAAATAAAAATAAATAAAAATAATTTTATAAAAAATAGGCTAATAGCTGTGAGATTTGACAATAAATATCGTGTAACCAACCTCGCTACAGTGTTTAGATCCGGTTCCTGACCCGGAATAACAAAACCTCCCCGGACGTACAAATGGATTGGGGAATCCGGTTTAATTGGTAACGACATGTCCTTGGCTTCATTGTCGGTCACCATGGCTCCCTGTTGAGAAGGCCATTAATGATGTGTTAACATTTAACAATAATGGTTATAATAATTATGGCAATTTTAAAAGTTGTGGTGGACATAATGAAAGGTTTGAATGTTCCTCTCTAGCTAATAAATAACGACTATTGAAATATCAAAACACAATGATGCCATTAATGCATGCAACTGAAAAAAAAAAAAAAAAAAAAACCAGTGACGCCATTATCAGGTACAACAGAAAAAAAAAAAAAAACACAATGTCATATTCCACAGTATGGTCACCAGTACTTGATATTTGTTTTATGACTATTTGGCATTTACCCGAGATTTTATTACATGTAGGGCCTACTTACCGTGTGATAATCATACCACCTGGCCTTGGGGAGATAGAAGGTAAGACTCGTGGCCCCCTGTAATACAAAACAGGATTTGAAGCTTGACACTGCGAGGGTTTAACTTTAATGATTTCTTTAAAAAATCCTTAAGAAGAAAATGCGCCTGATGCGAAGCCATATCGTTGAGAAATAATATATAAATAATAAGCAATGCCTACAAATACAGAGAGGACGACTTGCTGTGATGTAATTCTTCGTGGAATATAGAAGTTTTATTACTACGATATGATACATCTGGTATACATGTGTCTTAGCGTACTAGCTTCTTTTTTAGATTTCCAAATTTGCCCACTCATGGTCTAAGAGCCTTGTTTATATAGAGATATGAAAATAAAGAATGTTTAAGTTCATACCTCTTCCAGCACCGGGACGATCATAAACGCAGGCCCCCATAAAAACTGTCTGTCAATACCCCACGTCCTGTTGTCTGTGGGAAATCTAAAACATTGATGGAAGCCATAAATTTGCAAAATTTTGAGGGATTTTTTTTATGGCATTGGTATCTGTTAAGAACGATTATCTGTGAAATGAATTCAAAACATCATCAACAGTGAAAAAGAAAATAGATACGAGAGTCCGGACTGTGACAGGTTATTTACAATAATGCCGCGATAGGCCTTGGACCATTACTCGTTCGAATATATTGAAGAAACATTATTTCAAAACCTTAGCAAACACCAATTAGGCAGTTGGCATGGTTTCAACTCACTCATGCATGAGAGGTCTAATGACCGTGTTGCCGCGTGTGTGTGCGATATGGAACAGCGTGTACAGGTACGGGAGCAGACGATAACGTATCAGCAACGCTTCACGTGAGGGTACTGCTACCTCCTCGCCGAAATACCCCGGGTCTTGTGGCTGAAATGAAGTAGACGATTTCAAATCATGAAGAAAAATTACATGACAAGGATATTTTCTTGATAATCATACGTTCTTTGAATGCCAATAGGAATTTTAGCTAATTTTTTTTTAGTTTATGCTTTTCACGAATCCCTTAAATCAAGTTTAGTTGATGACCCAAGTGTGTTGTCTTTTAATTTTAAATTGAGATTTAAAATAAAAAAACAATAAATCAATTTGTCTGCCTTTGACTGTGCATACCGTATTATCGATTCCGTTATGGTTCCTAGAGAAAGGATAGAAAGCCCCCAGCTGCATCCACCGCTTGCACATCTCTGCTGTAGTTTCTCCCCAGAACCCACAGATGTCAGCACCGATCTGAAAGACACGCCAACTCACTGGTTCCCAGAGATTACTGTTTTCGGCAATCTCTGAAGCTTAAGGCGCATTCAGAACAGCGGACTAACAGATCCGCGGATCAAATATGGTCGATCTTCTTGAATGCCTGTTGCGTAATCCCCGCGGGGAATCTATTCAGTGTCTAATCGGGAATTAAGCGGCAAGCTTTTTAGTTGGTCGCCATATTTGATCCTAGGTTCTGTTAGTCCTCTGTTCTGAATGCGGTCATATATAAGGGCGTGTGTTCGGGCAGTACGGTTCGTGTTCAAAAACCACTCCCGCAGGGCCGTAGCCTCGGGGGGGGGGGGGGGGGGGGGGGCCAGGGGGG